ATCCCCTAATTTGGGGACGGGGATTGGTATTTGAAAAAAGGGCCGGGGATTGACCAGGGCGAGGGCCTACTATGTACTTACATACTTGCCAAACTTGCACAAAGTCCTTGCTCAGCGGGATGTTTTGTGCAGGAGTGTCATTTAAATCCATCTACAGAGCCCCCTACCAAAGATTATGTTATGGTCCAGAGAGGAGATGTGTGTGCATTCCTCTTGCGCACATAGTACATGAATTTTTTCTTGAGGAAAGTACTCCCCTCAGACTTCAACTTCACTTTAAAAAATATGCCTTGTAATTTATATGTAGGTTGACTGTACAGTTAACATTTTGTCTCAAACCAGCCTGGTGCAAAACTGCTTTTGGCCTACAGATGGCCCCAAGCCCATTGAGCGGATGATGTAAGAGCTTTTCTCAGAGTCTCATAGAGGTGGTTGGAATGTGAGATGAGTATTGTCAAGCTTTTTGTTATTGATTTCATAACCACTTTCTTTCATGGATATTTTCATCTTCTGGTCTTCAGTTTGACAAACTAACTACAATGGTTTAGCCATTTGCATGGCTTCAAATCTATCACAAACAGTCTTCATTCAAAATCCTATGTGGAAAACAAAGATCACATCCCTAATGTTGCAAGTATGAATATTGTGATGAGTCCTGCCCAGTTTTTGCAAAGTCTTGTTGTCATGCCTTGAGCCAGGAAACACAATCTTGCCAAGCAAAGGTGATAGTGATAGATAATGTGGGAGTCACCATTATGATGTGCATGTCTGTAGGGGTTATGTCAAACTTAACAAAAGAACATAGGAAAAAATGATATAACCTTATAACTCAATTTTGCAGCAATTACACAACCAATTTACATATTACAGCACCATTTGAGACAAGATTTTTACATTGAGATTGGAGTCTGAGGGAAGTACTTTTGTTGAGAAAACAAATCATGTACTATGTGCTCAAGATGAATGCACACACATTTCCCCTTTGGACCATCACATAATCTATGGTAGGGAGCTCTGTAGATGGATTTGAAGTACACTCCTGCACAAAACATCCTGCTGAGCAAGGACATTGTGCAGGTTTGGTGTAAGTCCCTTGCTGGGGCTTGGGTTGCAAGTGACAGCATGGGACTTTGCTAAGTTTATGCATACTTACATTTCAAAAGAGAAGATAATTTAGAAGTGAAATTCTTGAGTGGTGCAAGTGCACAATTATTTTTAGTTTTTGTTGTGTTCTAAAGCTATAAGTAACAAAAGCTTACAACATGTGATCCTTCAAGCTCAGTGACTCTGAACTTTTCATGAGGGGAAGAAGTTTGACAAAGTTGATAGGATGGTAAATGGCAGATGAAAATTGAAAGCACATGAGAAAAGCTTTTGAGGTCAAATTCCATTTCACAGATTAAAAAGAAATCATTTAGAGTGAATACACTCACATGATTAGTAGTCAACTCCATATATGTAGAAAACATTTTGATTCAGGTTAGAATTGAGGTTAAACAAACCAAGACCTGTCAATGAGTCTGTAGCCTAAAGAAGGAGCATTTGATTTTTATTTTGGATGGTCAAGAGATGAATGTCTTTGTTGAATGGCTTTAATGTTTGGTAATCAAGATCTGTTAAAGATGTGTAAGATCCCTCTCTCTTTGATTTGATTTATTCTCAAAAGTTTTAACAGGGTTTATACGTAAGACATGTGTTACATATAAACTTTGAAGTATTCCTTCTTCAACTCACTATGTCATCCTTTTTACAATACATACAATCATTTCATTCTACCTTTTGGGAATTCATTTGATTTGATTTTTTGTTTTTCTTTGATATCCTGAAGAACCCACTAGCAGTCTTAGATGCTCTTTCTCTTATCTGGCTTTACAATCTTACTATATGATTTGTTTAAGTGTTTTTGTTTGATCTTATACATCCTAAGATTCAATTTATTAGTTTTGATTCAGTCTAAATCTCTGTGCTGCAAATATCTGCAGTTTTTTAATGGATTGGGAATGATTGGTAATGCCCCAGGGCCTGGTAATATTGAGAAACAGCTCAGCTGCAGATACTTTTTACATACACTGAGGTCATAAGTATGGATAACAAACCTAAATTTATACTAGGGCTATGAGCCAGCCCTGGCCCTTCCTGGCCAAGCTTTGGGCCCTTTTGTTGCAATGCAGCCTTAACGCTGGCCCTGATTGCTTTCTCCAAGTCATTGGGCCCACACAGGGTTGGTCAGAGCCCAGTGGCTGGCCCCAAACACTGAGAGCTGGGTGATAGCCCTAGTGTATACAGTATTACCAACAGGATTTTGTAGAATTTAGGTATTTGATCTTGGTACATACCTGTTTTGTTTCTATAAAACAGGATTCATGAAGTTTGAAACCAATTTACTACCAATTTGTTCAAGTGTTTTTTGATGCAACATTTATCAAAACCTTGGTAAAAATGAACTCAAGAGAAGAGTGGATGAAGAATTTACTTAGGATACATTTGACTGGTGCATCTTAGAGTGTGGTCATTTAAGCAAATCCTAATCATTAATCATCATTATTCTGTAAAATCTTTAATGAAAAAATTGAACATGTACTACCAAAAAAACACTCTAAAGTTTGGAGAATGTGATTTCTCACCAGATATTGCTCAAGTGAATGTGCCTTGAATTTACCTTAAACCAAAAATTGAATTAGAATCTTAATTTAATGTACTTTAAACAGACTGTTTGGAAGCCTTTTAATGCAAAATTTTAATTGACTTCAACATTCAATCATGCACCAATGAAGCACTCAAAAATCATTGACTCTACAGTTGAAAATTCCGCTGTCATTAATCCACTCAACTCACCTTGATCCAACTCCAAATTTCACTCTTGACTCCATTCATTGGTCTTGAACCTCTTCTCATCAAACCACTTGTCTTTTGTTAAACTCCTCCATCTAGACAAGCTCAGTCTTGAATGTGATCAAAACCAGGTTTAGGAATCTTGTCATTACTGATTGGGAAAGAACACAAACAGTTTGAGATGTGAAAACTTTGAAAGTTTCATCCCATTTGGAACAAGAAGAACACAGAATGTATGAATGTCTACATTGGCTTCAAAAATCCGAGTTGGAGATGAAATTTCTGATTTTTTGAGAACAGATTCCAAACCAGAAAAACTGGCATTTAAAATTTTAATTCAATCTTTTGCTTTTTTTCAGCCACAAAATTCACTTGAATTTTAGGTAAATGAAATTCATTAAGCCTAGCCAAATCTATCCTTAATTTAAGACTTGTGATCAAATGATTTAGATTAAAGCTTTCAAAGATGATCAAGTTTATCGATCCAATGAGTCATTTAAAGTTCGATATATTTTCTTTTTGAATAAAGTATGATGAAATACATGATTTGAAACCTTTTTTTGTTTTTTAAAGAAAAACATCTGAAAAACATCTGAATATAATCAAGAAAATTCAGAGTCTCAAAAACCTCAATTAAAATAAGATTCAAAGATTTATGTTTTGAATTAAACTCAGATCAGTTTAATCTCAACTCATCAAGTTCATCTTTTTGCTTAAAAAATATCAATCTTCTTTTCTATCTTACTTCTTTTCTTATTTTTTTTTACAAAATCTTCTCTTTACCTCCATCTTGAATCCTGTAATGAGTATAAGGTTTAGGTTTTTTTTTGTGTTCCACTTTAATTAAATACATGAACATTGTTTCTTGATCCTTAGAGATCAAAATGTGTTATGAGCTTACATGAGCACATCTTGTACCTTTTCCTATAAAGTTATCAACGGTCAAGGATGACAAGATTCTTGAGAATCTCTAGACTTTTCAGTGTGAAACCTGTAGTAAGGAAAGAGAACATTGAGGGCACAGGTTCTTGATTAGACTACAGCTTCAGCAAGTCAAAGTCAAGAACTAAGAGACCAACCTGCAAGCTTGAAATAAATGGAGAGCACGTGTAAGGAGATTGAATAGATTAAAATGAAATAATACTACCTTTGAGAGTGAAAGGTATCAGGGTTGTAGTCTATAAAGCAGTCAGGAACAAATGTAGGATAATGTAAATCGAGAAACTTACTGATTCTTTTCAACACGAAAAGAATCAGAAAAAGAGGGAGAAAAGAAACTACAACAGAGAGCAGATATCCCCAAAAGAAAAACATCCAACACCCCTTTGATTCGAATTCACCAAGAACACCTTCATTCCATCTGAGAAACCACCCACTAAGATTGCATCACTCAAAAACAAATATCACCTTACCACTACTCTTACCAATAGCCATTCCAAAACATTCCAACCCACTCCTTAACCAAGATAGGAAAATGATGTTTGACACCAACAAAGATATCAAATATTTTAACATTTACCTCAGACTGAAATCACCATATAAGATATCAGTAGTCAGTAGGATCTCCTGATGACCATCCTAGAGTACTACATAAACTCCACACCTTAACCCTGCTCAGAACAATAATTGCTCAGCTGTGTTTCTTTATCTTTGATGTGAATGAATCCAATGGTCTACAATTTGTAAAAATCATGATACAGTGGCCAGGTTGAAAAAGATGATCTGTTTCAACACTTTGAGATCTTTTGAAACACTCTCCTGAACAAGAACCTACCCAACATTTCCCAGTTTGATTGATTTCTTGATCTTGAACGATTACCTGATCTCTCACTCAATTTACTCTTAACAGAGCTTTAATTGAGAGATAGATAGTTCTCTAGCACAGTAGAATGAGCTTGAAAGTATTTTGAATGAATGGTTTGATTGAGTGTTGATCATTCCAAAGACTATCTTTATGTTTTTTTTTTTCAAAACTTGATGATCATTTCTACTTCTTCATCACTCAAACTGACCTTTTTCAAATCTCATCTGATTTGATTGTAGAACTCAATCATGACTAGATCTCAAGTTAGAATACTTTCAATATGAATTCTTTGATTCAATAATAGCAATGATATATGCATTACAATAGTCATGTTCGAATATTGCTTATTTTGTCTGGCACCATCGGCCTTATGGTCTAGTCGTATGATTCTCCCTTTGGGGCTTGCCTGAGGATTGGGAGAGGTCTCGGGTTCAATTCCCGATGAGGCCCGATATTTGTTCTTTTGCCCACTGCCAAGCAACACCAGTGAATTCAGTTTTTTGATTGTTTTGATTTGAAGATGATCAAAGCTTGGCTTGAGATGATTGATGAATTGTTGAAGATGAGATTGTGAGAAAGCCTGTACTTAAGATTTAGTGAAGCTTTAGTTAGAAAAGTGAAGCGAGAGAGAGAGAGAGGATTGACTGCGTAAAGGGGGAGTAGTATTTGCATGGTTCGATGTCAGATCCATCAGAGCAAGTCAAGAATTAAATTAGAAAACAAAACAAGAAAGCAGAAAGAGAAGTCGATTGAATTGTAAAGAAGAATAGTACTACCACTCCACTCACTCTCCTTCACTCTCATTCATTCAAGCCATGCCCATTCATCAAACTAAAACTAAAAATAAAAAACAAACTAAAACATCAAATCAACCAATTCAGCCACTAAGCCAATCCACCACCACCACCACACCATCACCATCATCATCATCAGGGATTACTCATCAAGATGATTCGACTTCAAACTGCAAATCAAAGATTACTAAGACTACTCCCACTACTCAGCATCATCAGCATCATCATCACTTGACCAATCCCACTCCATCCTTGACTTCCAAACCATCACTGTTTACCAAATCCCATCATACACTCTTGGCCGTTGCTTCATTAAACAATCTCAGAAACTCAAATCAATCGATCATCAAAAGAAGCAATTCGATTGGTGAACAAATCTCAAATCATCATCATCATCATCACTACATCACTCATTCTACTTCATCATCACTCATTCAACCACCCAATCAACCATCGAAATCATTCAACTACAAACCTGATTTCTTCAAAAGATCAAAACCCACTCATTCAAACTTATCCACATCTCATTTGAATTTAGAAATCTTACCCAACCATTCTACTAAACTCAATCCTCATTCATCAAACACTTCATTTGATTCAACTTCAACCCTACTTCAAGATCCTAATCAAATCAGTCTGAATCTCAAACCCAAACCAACTCACCATCATCTCACCACTTCATCTTCCTCCATCAAATCTGAATCAAATCTATCATCTTCTTCACTCAACCAATCTGATTCAATCTTCAACAAACCAAACGAACCTCATCATTTGAAAATAGAGAGTGATTTAAATAAAAAGAATGAATCATTTGATCAAAAGAACGAATCATTAAAACAAAAATCAGATTTATCTACTTCAAAACAGAAATCAGATTCAACTTCCAATTCAAATTCAAATTCAAATTCAACTTCAAAACAGAAATCAGATTCAAATTCCAATTCAAAATCAAATTCAAAATCAACTTCAAATCGAAAGAAAGAATCTATCTCATCTGTCAACTTATCATCACTTGGTTTATTTTCCGGTCCTTCAACTACAAGTTTAGTCTCCACCACCTCTTCCTCAACGCCACAGACCATGAATTTCTCAAATAACAATCCCAATCCATCAGCCAAACCTGTGATCCGTCATATGACTTCGACCAACAATCTATCTTCGACTAATCTAAGCACTCTCAATCATCATCATCATCCTCATCCTCATAATGGATTTGGTTCTAAATCAGATCCTAACTTTGGTTTGTTTCTTGGAAATGGTGGTGATTCAGGTGGATCATTGGTCTTAAGACCGGGTGATATCTGGAGTCAAATCGTCATGAGAGTCATCCCACTCTTGTAAGTCTCAATCCCTTAATCGATCTACCTCTTCTTTTTCAAATTGTTAACTTTTTCTTCTTTCGACATCAATCTCGAGTGAATAAATTAGTAATGGAGAAGGACATAAAGGATTCATTGAAGATTTAAACGAATTCGTCGTTCAACATATCACCAAGACTATCTCAGATTCACCATCTAAATCGATTCAAAAATTAACCTCTGATTTACAAGAATTATTCACCTCAGGTGTGATCAGTTTGAATCATAAGTTTTCACCTGATTCATTAAATGATGAACGGTTCTTGATCAGATTAATGGAAATCTGGCATTTCTTCTTTACGGGGGTGTTACCTACCTTAGAAGCTATCTTTTTACCCTTAATGATTGATGAGAAATTAATTTCAGTTTTAGAATCGAAGAATAATAAATTATTACAAGAAAGATTAAAACAATTACATCTCTTTCAACAAGTTTCTTCTACTGCTGGTTTACCTCCTTCTTCTACTGCTTTACTCTTCAATCAAACGCAATCTTCAAAACCAAATGAACCTATCAAATTAGATTTCAATCTAGGGATCGAAGTTCGAAAATTAGCTTTGATTTCATTTAGAGATTCGATGATCAATGGGATCTTTAATAGGTTATACAAACTCTGTTCTCATTTATATGATGATGAATTACCTAATTTGGAAAACCTTTCGATGGATTTAGTTTCCGAAACTTCACATTACAAACGATTACAAATGATCGGTTTGTTATGTGCTTCTGTACCGAATCCTGAAATCGAAGCTTTAGGAAAACTCATCAGATCAGGTAAAACAGATCCAAAGTATTTGAAAGAAGAAGACGAAAGAAGTTCTCCATCGAAGCTCGGACTGACTTCAACCAATCCGACTCTGACCTCGACTCCTACGATTCGAAATTGGAAACAAAATCGAGAGTTTACCCGAAGATCGATCAGAAGACAGTTGGGTAAATCTCATCATCCATCCAAACCTTCTTCATCCAATCTCAAAACTCATCTCTCCGATCTCAAAACGTTCGTACCGAACTCATCTTCAACGAATTCGATCTCACAAGACCATTTGGATCTCGAAGCTCCTTCTCCTGCTCCTCATCCTCATCCTCATCCATCGAATGAGAGTCAAAAGTTTTCCGAACATCTCAAACATGTCGTTCAAGCTAAGATTAACAAATCCATGAATTATTTCGGTAGTCTTTCCTTAGATGAGCCTAGTTCGATTCATTCACCTCTTTAATCATCCAACCTTTCATCACCTTCTTGGATGGATGGATGGATGGATGGTCATCAAGGAAATCTGATTTGATTGTTTGAAGGAATCAAAGCTTTGATGATTTGATCTTGGGTTTCTTTTTTTGGGGTTGGGGGGGGAGGAGTTTGGTCGAATTGGATGTCTTTAATCCTTTTTTTTTGATTTCTTTTTTCTCAATCTTCATTCCTTTCGTCTTTCTCTCTTTTCCATCTCTTTTTAAATCTCTTTTTTAGATCAATCTTCTCTTTTTTCTTTCACACACCAAAAAAGAAACCTCTCTCAATTAAGAAATGTTTGTAACCCTTTTTCTTTTTATTTATATCTATCCTTCTTTTTCCTTTTGATTTAGATTTTCATCTTCATTTTCATTTTCATCCTTTGCTGTGTATAGGGGTGTATATAGGTCTGTGTTTTTCACTTTCTTTTAACCCTTTTCTTTCTTATTCTTATCTTATCTTTCTTATCTTTATCTTTATCTTTACCTTTTTCTTATTTAAATTTTGATTTAAATTTTGTGTGTGTGAAAATGAGTGGAGAGTATATATATATGTATATGTTTTTTTCCATTATTTTTTTCCCCCAAAAATACCAATGTAGAATTTGAATTTATTTTCCTTTTTTTTTCAAACAAAAACCAAAAAGTTAGGTTTAGGTATTAGATATTTGTATTTAAAAGATTAAAATTTTGAAAAGAATGATGATTTTCATTTTTCCCCTCACAAAAAAAACCAACCCACCAAGAAATTAGGGTAATGAATTGATTGGAAAAGGTTTGAATTAAGTGATGATGAAAAAGAAGAAGAAGAAGTAAAAGAAGTAAAAGAAGTAAAAGAAGTAAAAGAAGTGAAAGAAGTAAAAGAAGTAAAAGAAGTAAAAGAAGTAAAAGAATGGGAATTGAAAGTTTGAGGGCTCGTTTGGTATAGCTTTTTTTAAGCTATTATTTTGAAATTTGACTTTGAAAAGTCAAATTTCGAAAAAGCTGTTTGGTAACCGCTTTCGAGTCCATTTCAAAAGCTATTATGGGTACCATGATAGCTTTTTTTGGCTATTATAATAATTGACCATGTAGTCAATTATCGTACCCATAATAGCTTTTTTTCAACTTATCTCATCAATTTTCTTTATTTTTTCCCAAATATACAAGTCCCCGTTTTGATACCCCCCTGTCCTCCCTTTGATTCACAACTATCCAGCCCTTTGATTCACCACTATCCATCCCATTGATCACTATCCATCTCATCCCATCTCATCTGATCCCATCTATCTGGTCGCTGCGCTTGTTCAGCACAGTCATGAGCAGCTGCCATCAAGAGATCTATTATCTCTTGATTGTAATTGACCGGATTGCTTCCCTCAGAGGAGGAAGCTTCGAGCAGGAAATCCAACTCCCCTGAAGATGTGGAGTTGTTGGACATGGGATCACAGTGTGATGTGTTCTTTGTATGGTCAATTGGAGATTGTGATATGATACGAGATGGATTATGTCCCAAAAAGTTGTATTTCATTTTGAAACGGTCAACAACAGATCGGCTACCAAATGAAATACAACTTTTTGGGACATTTAAGTGACTTTTATCCAAAAGCCAACTTAAAACGATAAATGGCTTTCCGGGCCCGGAAAGTTCGTACCTTTCAAAAGGTACGAACTTTCATAAGCCGTTCCAAACGAGCCCTGATTTTTTTTTACAGAAAAGTTGAACCGTCGTTTGAATAAACAAAATTTTTAATTTTCTCTTTTTTAAAGGAAAAAAATGCATATCATGAATTTCTTAAAACCTATTTCTTTTTTTATGTAGTAAGAAAAAAAAAACGAATTAAATTGGTTTTTTTAAAAAAAAACTTTATGTACAGTCAACCCGGAAAAGGTTGCCCAAAAGAAGGATTTGAAAAGATGAGGAAGGATGTTGTAGTATTTATAACCCAACAAGGATTATACAACACATGACAAGGATAATCTACTAATTGTAATAGTAGAAGTTGTCTAAGACTGCTCTTCTAAAACCAATCAATAAGAATTTATTGATGGAGTACTGATAAGGAAATAAGAGAAATATAACTTTAAA